AGTTGATTTGATACGCAAGATCATGTTTTACGTAGGAAAAATTTCTAAAAATTATGATACAAGGATATCAAGTCAACATTTCGTAAATTCTATGGTCGATACAATAACCTTGTTAACAAATAATATATCGTTAACTGTCGTTTTTCATATAAATTTTTAGAACATTATTTTTACACTGTATTATCTATTATTTTTGCGTTTACTCGATCATGACTAGGAGCACACAGAGGGTGTGACCGACCGACAGGGGATGCTTACTCCTCCATGTCACTTAATCCCACCTCTGATATTTTTAAAGGTTCGTGTTTGCTCGTCTTCCAGTTTGTATTGTTCCTATGGACTTTTGAGCTTGATTACTGTTTGCTGTCTTCCATATTTCAAGACAATCAATTATAATGTCTGATATCCAAATTTTTTTTTTAATTAAAAAAAAATCCTGATCTTTGATATTATGTTTGATATCAAAACAGGAATATTTGAAATTAAAGATTTTTCTCCTGACATCAGAAAATGCATCAACAGTTTTATAAAGGGTTTTCATACATCTTTTTAAATTTTTTTTCTTAATGAATATTCTGGTAAAAAGGAGTACATTAAACATGCGTCACGCATTTTCCCTTTTCAGGGTTCGTTTCATATTTAATATTATATATTTGTTCAATAATACAGGATTTTTGCATCCCTGATATGAACACAGGCACGCGCCCTGTATTACACACCCTATATCAGCACCCTTTATTTTACCCTGTATCACACCCTTTATTACACCTTTCCGGAACATCTCTGTATTTTTCATTCGGAGTATCTCGGATCTTTTTCTATTAATTGTTTATGAAGTTTATTTAAACTGTAAATTTTCATCAGATATTTTATGCTATTCAAAATAATAATTTGTTTGATTTATAATTATTTCATTTCCTATCGCTGTATGTATTGCCTTTGGAAAAAAATAACGAGAAAGGAAATTTAACGAAAAAAAGAACATATTCAATAATTAAGAATTAATCTACAGGTTTATATATGATTTTTTGACATTATTTTCAAATATATAATAAAAACAACAATACATGGCAAAATCTGTATCACACCCCATATCAACCCTCGACCAATATCCGCCCTCTGGCCTTCGGCCCTCGGGCTGATATTGGAGTCTCGGGTTGATATGGGGTGTGATACAGATTTTGCCATGTATTATTCTCTATATATTGCATGCTTAAGGTAGAACCTATGTCGGAAAAGTCTTTGTCACAATAATTTTCAAACTTTTCAAAATGATAAATTAGCTCTCGCTTATCAATCAGTTAAAAATATATGGTATGTTTCTTCGTTATTAAATGTAGTGCAGTCTGTACAGCGACTACATATTTTCAGCCATTTTTAGGGGTACTGGTCACAAAGAGAATATAATAATTCACTAAAATACTTCTTCAAACATCGTCGTTTATAGACTTTATTAACTGAACCATATTAAGCAATATTATTCAAGAATAAATTCTTTTTCATTCAATTGACATAAAAGATTAAGTCCACATTTCAACGAATATAGGCAAATGTGCTCAATATTTTTTGAGTCAATTTACCACCTAAATTTGTAAATATTTTTCAAAAGTCTTAGTCAGAATGTTTTCAATCTTTAATATGATGAAGAACATACCCAAATAATTACAGAAAGTGATTAAAATATATACCTTTCCCCACAAACGAATGAGAACACTCTATTTATCCATACTTCTTTTGTTGACCTTTTTGCACTTACACAGGATTTAATTATTGAATTACTGTTTGGGGGTTACGTTCAGATTTACAATGTGAATATTTATCAAAAAATGTATTTTTTTATTTAAAAAGATAATATTTTCGGGAAATATTATTATTATACACCAACCATTATGAATAATTAACAAATAATTATGAAAGGGAATGCACGTCATTTCATGATAGACATTACAAAATTTACACACAATTTTTAACAGATCTTTGACTCAGACACTTTTCATCAAGATATTGTACTATTTAGATTTCTTAGGATTTTTGATTTCCTTCAAAATAGTTGCTTGTCATTCACATTATCACAGTTGTGTAACTTCATTACATAAGACATTCTTGAAGAAAGTACGGGAAAAAGTAACATTAAATTAATTATGACGTCATAATTGATCTAGCAGTCTAAACTGATTTTCTCAGTATGACGTCATACAACGTAGGTTCTACGTTAAGCATTCGCCTTAATTTTTTGCATGAAAAGTTTAAAATACTCGTTTGACTTGTACGTATGTAAGATTTAGAATATCTAGCTGTCTTTCTCTCACGTTCATATACATGTATAATCATACGATATAAGTATCTGTACGTACGACTGACAATATCCAGCTGTCCTTCCTTAACGTATGTAAGACTTGTCCTTATGGTTACAAATTGACTATCTAAACTCAGATGGAATTAATAAAAAAAAGCTGAAAAATGGGAGAAAAATCATTTGTTAAATAAATGCAACCTATTTCATAAGACAATATTATTAGATTTCAGATTTCTGCGCAAATACTTCGTGTCCAGCTCACCAGCGATGTGTGAATGGAAAAAGCAAGTCTCTGTGTGTTATATCTGGTAAGTGTCGAGCCTCTGAGAGTTATATCGGATAAGCGAACAGAGACAATACAAGTGTATTATATATAGTAAGTGTAGAGAGGAAAACATCAAAGATATATGTGCTATATCTGGACAGTATAGAGACACAAAGATCTATGTGCTATATCTGGCAAATGTAGAGACACAAGGATCTATTGCTATATCTCGTCAGTGTAGAGACACAAAAATACGTGCTTTATCTGGACAGTAAAGAGGTACAAAGATCTCTGGCTATATCTTGTAAATGGTGCTATATTTGGAAAGTGTAGAGACACAAATATTTATATGCTATATCTGGTCCGAATAGAGACACAAAGAACTATGTGCTATATCTGGTGTGTCACAAAAATCTATGTCTTCTTACTGGTAGTTGTAAAGACAAAAGTGCTATATGTAGTCAGTATAGATACAAAAAATACCGTTCGCGGTGGCTCAGTCGGTAAAGCGCTAGCTCAGTGATCGGGAGTTCGAATCTCGGCCGCGACTGACCTAAGTCGAAAAAAAAAATGGATAGCAACTGTGCCTTCGCCATGCGCTCGGCACTTTGAAGTGAAAGTTGCGGGTCCTTCGGATGAGACCTTAAAATCCGAGGCCCCGTGTCACGGCAGGCGTTGGCACGATAAAGATCCCTCACTGCTCAATGGCCCTTAGTGCCGAGTAAAGATCAAAATTTGAAGCCCTTCACCGGTATATGGTGACGTCTCTATATAAGTGAAAAATTCTGAATGGGACGTTAAACAACATACATTCAATCAATCAATAGATACAAAAAGATATATGTGCTATATCTGTTAGGTGTAGAGACTCAAAGACTTGTGTGCTATGTCTGGTCAGTATAGAGATACAAGAATCTATATTTCATAGTGTAGAGAAACATACTATAGATCCATAATGCTAATTAAATGTTCTAATTGATATTGGACATTTTTGGTTGGGTGAACATTTATAAAATAGTGACTACGTATCTTCCGTATGGAACACACTATGCACTAAAAATATTGTGTAGTTTTTTGTTCACGTTTTTGCACCACATTCATTAGTAATAACATAAACAAAATTCTTCAAAAAATTACCGTGTTTGATTCGTGTGTATCTGTTTTACCTTGTGAATCATCATATTCTTTTTTAAAAAAAAAACTACAAAGGAATCTGCAATTAAACAATTTCGAAAGCATCTATTTTCTTATTAAATCGGATTAATTATATTATTTTCAAGGTCATTATTCAGAAATACTGTGATTCCGACATATCATTTAGAGTTTGAACATTATCATACGGTTTTAGCGTTTGATATTTTGTACAGTTGTGCAGTTACATGATACTCACATGGAATACTTTTGTTTTAAATCATAAAAATTTCTGTATCTGATGCATTCAGTGACTAATATGGTTGAATAGATTAGTAAATCAGTTTTATTTGTATTAGTTATTTCATTTTCGCACTTCAACGTTTCCACATTTTCTTTATCCATAGTTGCTTGAAACTGTAGAAGTTCACGCAATTGAAAATTAAAAAAAAAAAACATTTTAATTTTACTCTCTATCTTCTGATATTTTTTTCACAAATCTCTTTATCTTATTATTTGTAATAGAACCCTTTACATATACATTTGCCGAACCTTGCATTGAAAAAATGTCTAATTCACTTGATGACTGCTTAATAGTGCGACTTCATGTCGCTTTATTTGTCTCCTACCGATGATTTCTTAATGTACTTGTGTTATACAAGAAGACATATCACAATTTTGTTGGATTTAATCGATTGCATACAGCGACAGATCCTTTTTTGTAACAGTATAGATTTCAGAGTTCAGACTCTGGCCTATCTATTGACGCACCATCATATATGACAAAATTAGACTGTGAAAAGTATGTCTATCAAAATCAAGAAAATATTTGATTTTTTACGACAGGGTGCCCGACAAATGGTTTAACGCTCCTCAATGGTAATGTAAGAAGTCATGTGATTCAAGTCGGCGATACTTTGGAATATACATGTTTCCATGGATATGCGAAGAGAATCATAGATGCCAGGTGTCTTAGTAGTGGGAAAATTGAATATGCTGAGAAAATAGCTTGCTGTGAGAACTTTTCCTTTCTCAAACAAAAGTTAAGATATAGACATTACTAAAGGATAGAAAGTATCGAGGGTTTAGAGGTTTATTATTCAATCATGCCAACTTCCATTATTTCTTTCTTTTGAATCTTTCTTTCTATCCTTGAACGTGTGTGTTATCAATTGTCTTGAAAATTATTTCAACAATTATTTCATTGTAATTTTAGTCAAAAAGGAGGGTCCATGGACGATTGCCTTCAAAATCCAGAGTAACAGTGGTGCACATCCTTTGGAATCCTTCGAAGATACTGGGGTACAACAAGAAAGAAACTCTTCTTTCCCCTCAACTTGCGTGACTCTGGATAAAGTAACCGGATGTACTACCCCCTACCGAACAGGACTCGTTGACGATTGGGAACAAATAGGGGTGCAAGAAGTAAATCATCAATTGAGTTGTGATTTATGAGAATTAATTTTCTCTAGAATTTCACTGATATTAATTAGATTCCTTTTAACTAGCTTGTAACATATCATAATCTCATAAAATTTACAGTCTTATTACGATTTTCTAGAAATAATTTATATGTGCATAAATGTATGTTTTGCAAGGGACGTAAAATAAACAATCAATAAATCAATCATAAATGTATTTTAGATTCGTTTTGTAATCACTGTTAACTCCACACTGACTCAAGAGATCGTTTTTGACGGATATAATTCGACTAACTTTGACTGGTTCTCCGGAAGTCGGGTCAAGTCGTCCACGTGGTCTGACGTCACAAACACACAGACGTACTTTTATTTCTGTTTACCAGGTGATCAAAGGTAAATTATATATATATATATATATATATATATATATATATATATATATATATATATATATATATATATATATATATATATATATATATATATATATATATATATATATATATATATATATATATATATATATATATATATTCATTTGTTAGTGTTGTAGTTGTACACGTTTCAATAATGCTTTAATTTTCTAAATTTGTGATATGAAATGGAAAACAAAACGGGAGAAGCTTAATATTTTTCATTAGTAACTTAATTTATATAATACGAGGGGGGGGGGGGCATTTGAAAAAAATATATTGTTTGATAAAATGTTAAGCGTTTAACTGAATATACAAATAATACCACAGTCAAAGAATGTCATCAGTATTTTTCCTTAATGTAGACAGATTTACATGAAGCTTGCTTTGTCATATTAAATATTTTTCATATATTAGGAAAATACTTGAATTCTGAGTTAAGTTACAGGTGTCATAACAGTATATTTAGGTTGGGGTTTACGACAAAACATGGCTTCCCTACCGATTCCCATGTTCAGAAGGTCATGGGTTCAACTCCGGCCGCGACTGACCTAAGAAGATAGAAAAAATAGGTAGCAACTGTCCTTTCGCCTAGCGCTCGGCACTTCGTAGTGAAAGTTTCGGATCTTTCGAATGAGACCTTAAAAACCGAGGCCCCGTGTCACGGCAGGCGTTGGCACGATAAAGATCCCTCACTGCTTAGTGGCCCTGAGTGCCAAATAAAGGTCTAAAGCTGAAAAATCTCTCTTTATGAGTGACAAATTCTCAAATGGGACGCAAGACAACATAGAATCTATCAATCCCGATTCTGACGTTTTTGCACAGACTGGGACAGATTTTCTTCTGAGATGAAAAATGATAGTAAACTTCCCGCATTTACCAGATTTATTAAAATTTAGGGCTTGCACTTGATTTTCAACACATGCTCGTCTTCACGGAGGTGCCTCGCTGGATGTTTCTGTGTATTTTTAAAGAAATAAGCTATCATTTTTAAACTTTACAGGTTGGTCATGTGATCAAATCTCATACAGCCTGAGGGTTTTATGGAAGAATTGATCACGAACCATCCCGTATTTACATCCCAATAAATGTTGAAAAATGATACTGATTATTACTTGTATTTATGACACTTTGGATGTTGAAATCGCGCTTAAGCGATTGAGTGGCAATATGAAAACAATCTATCCTTCTGTCTTCGACAATGCAGAAGTGAAACAAGAACAAGATGGATTACACGATCAGTATGTGCTGGTCCCCGCTGACAAAGCAAGTAACAAAATTGTCTTTGTTTGTAAGGCTCATTATTTGAATTGTATTTTAGAGGAGCTAGAATTTAATTCTGCTAGTGGTAATCCAACTTCTACCCATAGCTCTCTTTCTAAGGAGGAAATTCCTCAAAACCTTATGTCAGTTTTAAATATTTTTAATATTCCAAAAAAATCATAATGAATTTATCTTACCACACCTATACTGTATTCCAAAACTCGTTAAAAAAGATACATAGCGGGTTCCAGAAAATGTTTTACCGAGCCCTTTTTTTACTCCTCGCTAAAATATTTACAGAAGTGGAGAAGAAACTTCAGGAGTACTGTACAACAGTATATTCGAGAAGTGGTGTAAATCAGATGTGGATACTTAAAAGCTTTCAGGAACTTTTTAAAAAAATGAAATTTTACCAAAATCAATTATATCAAAACGTACGATTTTTCAACACTTTGTACAACCATTCCCCACGATGAATTAAAATCCAAGCTTTTTGAAATCATAGCTGCTTTTTCAATAAAAATGAAACTCATAAATATACTTACCTTTTCATTGGTCATTTGCAAAATTATTTTGTTAAAAACATTCTGATTGTCCACAAATTGTCCACATAAGTGCTCTGAAGTTGATTATTAAAAAGATGCTTGAGTTTCTGATTGACAATATCTATGTAGTTTTTGGAGATCAGGTCTTCCAACAATCCAGTTGCGCCCCCTTATTAGCAGACCTATTTTGTATTCATATGAAGCAGAATGTGTTCAAAAACTTCTACATGAGAAGTAGAAAACACTTGCTGTGACCTTCAAATTGACATGTAGATATAACGACGACGTACTATCAATTAACAATAGTTACTTCCATTCATATGTAGACTCGATATATCCAGTGAACCTGAAATAAAAGACACTGCAGAGTATGACACATCTGTTTCATATTTGGATATTTTACTAGAAAAAGACGTTAAAGGTAACCTAACAACAAAGTTTTATGATAAATGTGATGACTTCAACTTTTAAATCGCCAACTTCCCTTACTTATATAGCAATATACCCTTATCATCTGCATATGGGATTTTTGTCTCCCAGTTGATTCGATACGCATGCCCTACCTATGAACAATTTCTGAAACGAGGCAAGCTATTGACAAACAAGTTATAGAGCTATCAACAATTCGTTTGAAGTCATCAGTTTCGAGTTTTATGGTCGATACAATGACCTTGTCAGCAAATACAACATATCATTTAGTCAAATACTGACCGACATTTTTCATTCTAATTGTTAGGCCATTATTTTCACTCTGAATTGTCTACGGTTTTTCCGTTTATTCCTGATCATAACAAGGAGCACATGGCGGAGGTGACCGGTCGGCAGGGGGTGTTCACTTCTCCATGGCACTTGATCCCACCTCTGATGTTTTTGGAGGTCCGTATTTGCTCTGCTCCCGATTTGTATTGTTTTAATGGACTTTGAGCTTGAATACTTTCGTTATCTCCATATTTCATTTACAATTTTTGTTGATTTATAAGAAATACTTGTGTACTTTACTTTTAAATTAATTAAATGATTTATTTTTTTCAAAGCTCAACGTTGAACACGTCGACCACTTATAATGTACCTGTGAAATTACATCGAACTTTTATGACTAAATAATGAATTTATGGTCATGTGACGAAAATGATTCTGTACAAATAGTGTTACAGAAGAGAAAATATTTGTAAATTTAAAATATTGGTACTTAAATGTTTCTATTCACAACCGCGAATTTTTCCCTTATATAACACCATTTGAGCAAGTCGTAAAGTTCATATAACCCTGAATTCATTTTTTAATCGTAAACGATCGACGAAATTTCAGAGTGACGTCAGCCGACGTGTTCAACACTTTTAATTTATACTGTAGGGATTTGAAATATTTGTTTTAAATCAGTCACGAGGGTAAATATTAATAATAAGGTATCATTTCCATATATATATATATATATATATATATATATATATATATATATATATATATATATATATATATATATATATATATATATATATATATATATATATATATATAGATCATTTCTTCCTCATGGAAATTAGTCTAGTAATATGTGATAAGATGAACTGTGAACAGATCTTCAAGGTTACAATGTACCCGTTTCCTGACTAAAAGAACAACGATCTAACCTCTTACCTTTTTTATTTCTGTACAATTCACACCAAACCATTATCTGAAAAATATTATGCGTTTTTTGCAAGTTTTGAAAAGAAAGATCCATTTGAAAAAACTTGTCCTAAATTCAGGTCTGTGTTGATTTAGGGGTCTGGTGGTTTTCCTTCTGAGATATCATCATAGTATGGTAAAGTAACAGTTAGGTAAACCATGGAGCACATGGAAATGCGTCAGTTTGCAGCCTACCAGAGTGATTTGCAGTGCACTTGCGGCAGGCTACGAAGTATTGCACGTGCTTTGCTTTCAACTACATGTTTCATTTCAGACGCTTGATTCTGGATTTGCTGCTTTTTATATACACAGATTTATAAGACACAGTTTTTCAGTTTCATCCTGTTTTTCAATATCCAAACTTTCTCTATCTTGCAGTAGCTTATTTTTACAAGATCATCTTTATATTCAGTGTAGATATACACCCGTTAGTTGGTACACTTTCAGAGAACTTGTGCACATAAGCAGACCTGTTTTAGGACTGGCTGTTACTGTATTCTTTTCTAACAGAAATTTACAATAACTGTGACTATCTAAATTACGTTTATGTTTTTAAGAGGTACAATCACTAGAGTTTGGACCATTATAAAGTCATACCATGGGTGCGCAGGTGACATGGGATGGTTTCTCTCGTCCTTCAATCCTACGAGTGGTTGTAACTTTGATACGACCTCCAATTTAGCATTGCTTTATCCAGTTTTTCCAGTGTGCCCTAAATCAACTGCGTGTTACTTTTCTTCTGGTGAGTATTGACTGATAAAATGATACATTTTCTAGAACGATTCAAATTAAATTGTAAACTTACTGCTTCGACCAAAAACCTTAGAGGTATGTTTAATTTTATATTGCAAAATATGCGAAATTAATTTTCTAAATGAGAAGAAATTGTATATCTGATCCTAAACTAGTATGAGTTGATATTTTGAAATTATTATCTAAAATAATTCGTTGTTTAAAAAATAAAAAGGATATAGTAAGATTTTTAAAAAGTAAATGGAAAGAATCATGCCATGAGTGATTATTAATTACAAAAAAATAATTAGAACAACTTGTACATATTGTCATTTACAACAGACAAATAAAAGAATCAAAAATATATCATAACTGAAATGGCAAAAGTATGTAAAGCCCAATCTTTTTTTTCTGGTTTCTTTCTTTTATTTGACTATTACTTACGTTAATGGAATTGATTTTAAGAAATGGAGTTTGTAAAGCAATAACATAAACCCATAAAATCCGTAAAAATATAATGTTTTGTTTATGAATTTCAGAGACGGTAGAGGCAGAGGCATTTGCTGTACTTCTAAAGGCGGAGAAGTTGAATTAAAAATTTCCTTGCATTACGTTGTCCTTTAATTGGCATTTCTATTCATCAATATTTTTTTTTTTTGGTTCAGTTCAAGTAACATTTCCCAAATTACTTTAAAATCTACTTATGTTTTCTTTGTTAATTTTTTGCACAAGAATGTAAAATTTAGGGGGAAAAATGAATAGCTTCATCGGGATGGGAATCAAAATATTGTTTTAGTACAAATCACATTAATCAAATTGCAGAAGATGTGTGTGCACCAATGTTCTTATCACAGCGATTGTTAGAAGGTGATAACATACTAATCTATGCTAATTTTCTGTTTCCAAGGATTCATGTAAAATAAAGTCTTCTGGGGCTCATTTTCATCCTCATGACTTAGAACAGTGTTCATCTAAGCCCAAACTCTGCTAAAATAATCTTTGCTTTCAAACCATTCCAAAAGAACCAGACATTAATCCAAGGCAGGCCTCCCTAGGATCGAGAAATTTCAAGCACAATATAAATGCCTCGGAAAATGCGCCTTAATGAAGTGTCACATTGCATTTACTGATTATCAATATCAAAAGAAGCCAATACTAAAAAAAAAGATTTGCATTCTTTGATGCCTTGTACATTATAAAAATGGATGAAGTTGAGATGTTATGCATTGTCAGTTGATTTTTTTCCTACATTTTTTTTTATATTTTTTTTTCTTACTGTTCACAAAAATCTTTTGTAAGAAAAACTAATTTTTATTCTAAGATCAACTTAAAAATAATAATAAAAAAAAATAGTGATTCAAAAAATGAATGCCTTTTGAACGTAAAGCATGTGTTAGGTTTAGTTAATGTGAAGATGGTAGAAAAGGTCCAAAGATCTTGAAATCTTAGATTTACACAAAAGAATTGATAAAAACTGTCATTATATAGATGAAAACGAATTAATTTATATACCTTGTTCACAATTTGTAATTTGTAGTATGCACACATGATTTGTATTTTTTTTTAGTTTACATGAGCAATTTTTAATACACATAAATGTAATTTCATAATTAGTATACACAAAATTGTAATTTTTTAATTAGTAAACACACATATTTGGAATAACCTAATCAGAAAACACACACAATTTGTAATTTACTATAAACACACAATTGTAATATTTGGAACGTTACTGTATCGGGGTCCCATTGGAGTATCCCCGAGGAGAGAGTTTTATATGAACTTATCAATGCAGGACTCCTGCAGAAACATGGTATCAAATCGACTGAGTTAGTTCTACTCCATCTGAAGGGATCTATACTAGAAACAGTCTTGCTTTAGTGAGATAAGAAAAAAATTGAAGATACATGTGTACCTGAGTTTTCCATATTTCTGGATTGTCGAATAATCGAATGAAAAAATCTGCTTTTCCTGATGACTGCTTTCATGTTATTTACATTAATTATTAACTCTTTCTATATAATTTCCTAAATCATAAATATGCTATTTTATTTTGTTAACAAACAATTTTCTTTCAGCCTTGTTTTACATTAATATTTCAATAAAAGTAAGTACAGAGAAAACATCCAGACTAAACATTGAACTAAAAATCAGTAAGTAGCAGATGTTTTTTAGTAACACTGGTTTATCAAATTTCTTTGTGTTTTGATAATTGATTTTGCATGTAAATAATTATTTCACTTTCTATATCCTCTATTATTAAAGCCTGGAAGACTCTTTACAGGGTTATCCCTTCAGAGAAAGCATATTGAATAGTTAAATTGGGGTTAAGAGTTCATTGGACGTCAATTTATTGATGGAATTTTTACTGTTATGAATAATTATGAATTATGAATAGTTACTTTCATCCTGTGCAGTCATCGGCTTCCGTACGCACTTAATCATTTAGTCTGCAGAGATTTGGTAGTAGGAACCGACTTATTTTGATATTTTTCCATTGTGTTGTATTTGCATCTTGGGACAATAAAATGTCAATTAAGAACAAAGGATATTAGGCGAATAATCAGGATAGTTTTTTTAATCAATATTTGTTGTCCTTGAAAAACGTGTATGTGTTCAATTTAATCAAAAAAGTAATTTCATGGTATTTTCAAACCCACCTCTAGACGTTAATATTCTTAATGCGACAATACAGTTTGTTTTATTACCATTTAAGATTTAATACTTATTTGTGTAAAATGCTTGTAAGTTTATACAAATAGTCAATGGAAATCACACAAAAATACAACTAAAAATTAAATTACTGCCGATTTTAAAAAGAAGATGAAGATGGAAATGACCAAGCGGATTCTCGTTATTTGTGTTTTGGAATTATTGGTGAATGTGAATATACAAGGATGCACTCCAATGACAATACCAGAATCAAAACTAAAAAATAGCTCGCTTCAAACTCTGGATTTGATCGGCCAGAAGATGTGTGTGCACCAGTGTTCTTATCACAGCGATTGTAAGGCTGTTAATTTCAACAAACGCCAGCTGACCTGTGAACTTTTGACCCGCTCTGGACGGGAAGAGCCAGGGTATCTCCAGTATGATGCCGATTCCGTTCATATCCACAACATAACCAAAGACCAGGTTTTTCCATTTTTTCTTTTCTTAACAGTTCCTACAACGTCAGTTAAAGTGTCTATTTTTGTCCTATTTAAAGTTTGAAATTGTTAACATTGTAAATTTTAAGTCCACAGATGGCATAAGATAAAGACTACAATTAACTTATTTCAAAGATCAGTCATAGTTTTTGTGTGGCCTGCAGAGCAGAGCGGCACTTATGGATAAGATATTGCCTTATAATAAGCACCTCTTATTTTTACGTTTCCATCGGAATCGGGGTTTCCCAGTATCCATTTTTTTATTCGGAATCCTCCTATACAACTGAATAAAATTTTATTAGATTTTCACATATTTAATCTTTATGTTACACCGTTGTGTTGTGCACTTTTAATTTTACGTTTTGATCAGAAAGATATTTGGGATTTCTTATTTCAAAATATGAACTTTGCCATTATTCTTGTCAAAGGAATTATCCATTTTGTTAACGCAGTTCCTTCTTAAACCTCGAACGAATATCGATGATATTTTTAAAGAATCACCCTTGACCGTATGAAAACTCCTATTGGAGCGGGAGTATCATTTTGTGAGCTCAATCAAGTTTCTATTCTGCTTTTCAAATAAAACATATCCTTGAAAAGTGATGTAGTAGTGAACAAGATAGAGAAATTACAGGTCAAACAAATGCATATCGTCAATAATATAAAAATGCTTTCTTTGTCCCTTTTCATAGAATAACTGCTATATCACCAATACAAGTCCAAAATCTTTCTCCTCCTAAATCCTTACAACCCAGTACATAACAGGCAATATTTACGAGTTAACGCTTATTCGAAATCTCATCAGATTATCTTAACCTTTCGAAACATAGACAAGAATCAGTAATTTTTTTTTTTTTTTTTTTTTTTTTGCAAATTGTATGAGGGAGACGAAAAATATCAAGAGTTTTAGCACTCGGTTGGCTCTTGTCTTGTGACAACAGGTATGACCCCTAAGCGAATCCTACATGTATATGTCCAAAGGCAATATGCACCGAGCATACACCTTATAATTTTGAAGTATAAGAACCCTTGATAAAACTGCTTTCATATTCGTAAAGTTGTTTAACGAATTGATAATTATAAACAAAACAAAAAACGTTAATCATTATGCTTTAACGTGTATGACGTCATATAGATGATTAATATGCTTCAGGAACAGAAACTGTCTTTTAAGAGTTCAATAAATTAAAAGTTATTGATGTTAAATGTTTAAATAAAATTATCACTTCAAAGCAACAAAACTCAAAATTTAGTCAGATTTCGTATTTTGGGGGTTGGGGTGAAAGGGGATGGGTGGGTTATTGTCCTTTTTTGATTTCCAAATTACTGTTTATACATGCACCTGTCTTAATATTTCCTGATTTTACTTTATTAACAAAAAACCTGTACATCAGGACTGAATTAAATCTACTCCAAGACAATTAACTTTACGGACAGACAGACGGACATTTTAGTTCAAATATTCCTTCTTTTCCTATGAAATCGATATTTTCACTATAAAAATCAATTTTCCATACAAATTTATTCCAATATCCAAGAAAATTTATGAATTCCTTAAGCTTTTTTAATATGTTCTTTATTATGATCAGATTTCAATCATTGATCTTTAACCTCCTATTACCATAGAATTTAAACACATTGAAAAGTTTCCGTCATATCGCTTACTGTGACATCATTTCGCTGAGTCAGAACTAAACATCATTTCTCATAAAGAGTTATCTTTCCTTTAAGAGTCAAAATATTCATGTGAATTATAAATTCAAAGCATATATGTTGTATTTGGAGACAGTTTCATTGTGCAGTTTCGAATGTTGCTTAGAATTAATTTGAAAAAGTTTGAAAATAATGTTATCAACAGTCCTTATTATTTCATTTCATTTTTTTTTTTTTTTTTTTTTTTTTTTTTTTTTTATTTTGTTAATAATCTACAACTAATTCTTTTTAACCATATTTCCTATATATATTCCTGAACAGCATATACACTGTGCAGCAGATTTCTCAATGCTATAGTTTAACACAACCAGTGCACACAATGAGAGCAATTGCGTTTATGGTAAAATAAGTGTATTGACGGGAAGAACAGAGCATATGCAAAAATAAAGTAATAAAAACAACTCAGGATTGGTTATGTTACGTTGTAGATTAAATTTAATGCCACTCTGTATTTAGATTTCAGATTTCTGCTCAAATAAGACATGTCCAGCCTATCATCGGTGCGTGAGCGGAAAAAAGAAAGCGTTATGCATCATCAGTGGTGAGTAAAAAGAGCCAAGGAATTTATCTAGGATCGAACGACAAATTTAAAATCTAAAACTTAAGAGTGATTGGTAGAAAATGGTAGGGCTAATGTCTGTAAAAAGACCTGTTGAAGAAGTACAAATAAAGCGAAGATATTCATGACTAAATAAATTAATAATAAAAATAATACGAAATGATAGGTGTATGTCAGTTAACGCAGTTTAAGGTTGTTGCTAAAGACGGCAAAGCTTTTTGAAAAAGCTATATCTGTCTATATACATAATTCAAGTCAAAAAAATTGGACACTCCAATTCATTTGTCTACTCTCTCTCACAGATTTGTTGAATTTTCTTTTTCTTTTTCTACAGAATGCTCGACGCAAAATTTAACGCTCAAGAATGGTTTTTTAACCTTGAATCGCTTGCTTATTGGTGATATTTTGGAATTCACTTGCGCTAATGGCTACTCAAAAAGAAACGTCACCTTCCGGTGTCTTAGTAGTGGGAACATTGAAAACGCTGAAAAATTAGCATGTTGTACGTATTAAGTTTTAATTTATAAAATTATAATTCGAATGCTATCATATGTGTATAACCAGGTAGTTTAAGACTCTAAAAATTAGTTGTCATTGACCTATACTTTGTAAAAAAAAAAATATTTTCCCAATTATTATGCTTCAGATTTCTTTTTTGAAATGAATACTTTCACGCAAGCAAGACTGCATAGTATTAATACAGATCAGACAATTCAATCTGCATAAATCCACTATATAGAAAATACTCCTTGTGTTGTGGTCAAAGAAATATGTTTACGTTTTCTAATATGACATTTTTAGACAAAAAAGAAGGCCCATGGACGATTGTCTTCAAAACCCAGAGTAACAGTGGAGCCCATCCTTTACAATCGTACAACAACACCGGAACACAACAAGAAAGAAACTCTTCTTTCCCGTCAACCTGTGTGACTCTGGCTAAAGTACCCGGATGTACTACCCCCTACAGAACAGCACTCATTGACGACTGGGAACAATTGAAGGTTCAGAACGTAAGAAAAATAATCCTTCTTTACCAAGAATAGCTGTATTCTTATAAGTCTACTTTATAAAATGTCTATATAATCTCGTGTAAAGGTAATATTACAGTAATTCGAGAAAGGCAAACTAGGGCCCTGTATATAAAATGACGTACAACTAAGACCAACAATCATAGATGATCCCAATTGCCTGCCTTAATTACCAAGTGTAACATTGTGAAAGCAAGATGCCCATTTGCCACAATGCTCAGCTGAGTCGCTAAATTCTCTTCTTGAAAATAGATATGCAGATAATATATTTTCCATGATTCCGGTATAAACGTTAAGACTTAAATTTTATAAAGGGATAAATATGAACAATGAATGATCACAAATCAATACAAATCTGTGAACAGAGCATAGAACACGGACCCCTAGAAATTCCAGTGCCTTCTGTCTCCAGAGGTTGGATTGGCAATGAAATATAGAGATAACGAACAGTAATCCAGCTCAAAAGTCCATAGAAACAAATTTTTATTGTTACAATGGACTTTTGAGCTTTATTACTGTTTGTTATCTTCATGTTTAAAGTCGATATTTCGTAATTTCTATTGTAGATCCAATGATCTTGTTTGCAAATACAATCTATAGTTGAGCCGAATGTTAACTGCATGATGTTTTCATACAAATTGTTAGGCCATTATTTTCACACTAAATTGTCACACTAAATTTAACACTTTGAATATGCAACAGAAGTATGGGTAAATATTTCCGCAAATGGTAGCTGTTGGCAGGTGGGTTGATGGGGAAGACTTTCAACGGTCTAAAAAGTTAACATTCGCATATTCTGTGGTCGGTACAGTGACCGTCAGCAAATACAATTAATCTAATTATTAAGTCAAATGTTAGCTGATGTTTTTCATACAAATTGTTAGGCCATTATTTTTGCTGAGTTGTCTGCGGATTCTTCCGTTTGCCCGATCATGGCAAGGAGCACACGGCGGGTGTGGCAGGTCGACAGGGGATGCTTCCTCCTTCATGAAAACATTAGAGGTCCGTGTTTGCTCTGCTCCTAATTTGTATTGTTCTAATGGACTATTAAGCTTTATTACTGTTCGTCATCTTCATATTTCATTTTAACTGTTAAACGTTAACAATAACTAGTCACGATTTTCATTGTGCGGGGGAAGTTAGCTTTCCGGGACTTTCTTATACATAAGAACTACATGTATTTAACTTCTTATACATAAGAACTACAAGTTCTAATTTTTAAAAAAGAGCTACATTTACTTTCTTTTAATCTAAGAAATTACTAAGCTTGTACTCACATCAGTTCTTAATTATTTAAAGTGATATACAATATAAACAGCTTAACCCAACTACTTATAAAACCTTGATAAAGGACGAACAATGTCAGATTTTATTAGAAATAAACAGTATGAAATGGAAATAGATATTTTATAAATACCATACTGCGTGATAACCCAAACTTTAAAAGATGTTACGTGACTTGGATCTAAATCAGCAATATTCTTTAAAAATATTCAATAATATGTTCAAAATCAAGTTATTGTAACATAGAACACGTATATATTAAATTACAGAAACTCCACCAATCAAAAAAAAATATTTATCAAGACCTAAGTGTATCTTCTACCAAATCATTTGCTAAAATCAAGAAGTGTTGATTCACATCAATGTAAAATGAATTCATTTAATGTGAAATTTAATGGGGAAAAAATAAACAAACTGATTTAAATTCTAAATAAAACATGAAGGGTAACTGACTACACTGTGCCAATAAAAAGAACTACAAAAAATATCAAAAGTATGTCTCAAGGAATTTCGTATAGTTATATGCACAACACAATTTAAATAGAAATTTATATGAAGTTCTTCGGAATCAATACGGATGGGGATGATACATGTACTTACCAAAAATATTTATTGTTTATCCTATACCCAACATGCATAAATTCATTGGGGTGGGGATTTACCAGATTTACTCCACCAACAGAAATTGTGATAAAAATCATCACAGGTATTTCAAAAAATAAGCTATTCTATATCGAGTTTTACAATCAAAATGTTGAATTGGTTTGTCTAGTGCCTCTTTTTTTATTCTTGAGTTCCGCAATGCCAAGTTATAAGTCTGTGGTTATTAATACTAATTCGTTTCCAAATTCATTTCATCTGTTTTAAGACTGTCAGTAGGAAGGGTTCTGTTGAAAAATTTTCGCTGAAATCAGGACTCTTTAAAATTAATAACTAAATCTGATTCACAATAAATGTTCGAATTAACATTGAGAAAATTTTCAAAAATAAAATTATAGATCTCACCTTTAAAATGGTGAAATCGACTTCCGTCCTTAGCAAATGGTAATAAAAGTTTACGTTCGGTTTTCAATAAAAAAAAAAAAGATTCATGTTTCATTCTCTTGAACAAATAGAAATAGATTCTGTTCAGATTAATTTATGAAAAAGATTTTTTGCATTATCATGTATTTCAATATATTCTTCCCGAAAAAGCACCTTTGATGTATTCTGTTTTTATAACAGTGTCCCTATGAGCATACATTAGCATCCCCACTATCAGTATCTAACCAGAAACCTTTTTATTCTTCGTTTTATGTCATTTTTTATTCATTGAATATCCTATATATTTTAAAATATATAACCTGCTTTTAGGTTCTATTTACTGTGACGGTTAACTCGACATTTAAACAAGAGATCATATTTGACGGACGCAATTCTTCTAGTTTTGACTGGTTCTCCGGAAGTAGGGTCATAAACTCATCTTGGTCAGATGTCACAGAATCACAAACCTATCTCTTTTTTGATATTTTAGGATTGCAGGAGTAAGTACATGTACCATATGATGCCCTAAAATGCATATTAAAGAAATATTTGTCTCTCACTCTCCTTGGTTCAACTCTATAAGAACAAGATTTAATCATTTCAAACCAATCGAAAGATTAATGTGTTCCCCTCTTCAGTGATCCTCTTCCTCAAAATTCTTATATTTCAGTTCCATCGTAAATAGATTTTGGACCATAATGAATTATCATCAGGGCTGTCCGGGTGACTTTGGCTGGTTTTCCGCGTCATACAATCCTCCATATGGATGTTCCTATGATTTGACATCTCTGTCCTACCCAGTGTTTAGAGCGTCTCCCAGTTCAACGGCTTGTGTAATGGCATCTAGTCAGTATTTCTAGATTCAATCATTTGATAAACTTGTAACAAACTTAAAAGAATAAAACAAAAAGTTTGAACTTTATAAGTAAGCTAGGAGATATGTTTTGTCTTAGAAACACATGACTATTGATAGATTAAATAATATTTAGTGCAGAAATCGGATAAGGCAAAATTGCCATCACTTGCCTAATAACATGTTATATATGCAAATGCAACATTTCTTCGAGTTTAGTCAGTTGTAAAACTTTCACTTGGGAAAAGATCGGCTATTTCACCAATTACCCGGTAGTCATATGGACAATAAAGGTGTATAAGGGAATAATCAGCTTTATACTTCCATAACTGCAATATCTCTGCAAGTTTGGTAAGTGTAGATGAAATATGAACATAACAAACAGTAATCAATCTCAAAGGTACATTAAAACAATACAAATATGTAGCAGAGAGGACCTCTGAAAACATCAGAGGTGGGATCAGGTGCCATGGAGCAGTAAGCATTCCCTGCCGATCGGTCACATCCGCCGTATGCTGCTTGTCATGATCGGGCAAACTAAAAAATCCCTAGACAATTCAGTGTGAAAATAATGGCCTTACAATTTGCAGGTTAAACGTCAGTCAACATTCGACTTAATGATAGATTGTATTTACAGACAAGTCATTGTATCGAACAGAGAATTTGCAAAATGTTGACTTTAAACAAGACTGTTGATATTCTTTTTCATCAACTTGTTTGTGAATTGCTTCTCTCGTTTTAGAAATTATTCATCATAAAGTTTTTAACGTCTTTTCTGGTAATATGCAAATATGAAACAGATGTATTGGACTCTGTGGCATTTTTTATTTCGAGTTCAATGGGATATATCGAATATCGATATATCGAATCAACGTAGGAATGAAAATGATAATTTTTAATTGATAAAGCTTCGTCGATATATCTAAATGTTGAATTGAAGGCCACAGCAAGAGAATTATTCGTTTCATGTAGAAGTTTCTGAATAAATTCTGCTTCATATAAATATAAAAATAGGATGCATAAAACGGGGCGCAGTTAGTACCAATGGAAATTCCGACAGATTGTTGGAAGACTTGTTTTCCAAAACCTACTTAGATATTGTCAATCAGAAACCCAACCCAAGCAACCTTTAAATATCTCATTTGGGTACTTATGTGTACAATCAGAATGTTTTTTTAACAAAATAATTTTGGAAATGACCAATGACAGGTAAGTAAATTATGAGTTGAATTTTTATTGAAAACGCAGCTGTCTATGATGTCAAAGAGCCTGGACGTCAGTTTGATAATGATTGGCAAATGACTTTTAAAATTTGGAATATCCAAAACATTTAATGTATTCACTCAACCAGAGATAATAGCTAACATGCACACGAAGCGTACTGCATGGATACTTTGCAAAAATGGTAAAAATAGACTAATAATTACTTGGTAAATATATAAAAAGTAAATAAAAAATACAGCTCTACTAGTTACGAAGCACAAGAAGTGCCCAGGGAAATTCCAACTGCTTGTTAGAGGACCTGGCCCCAAGATTAAAGACTTGTCATTTAATCATCATAGAAAACTGCTTCTTCAATAAATATGGAACTCACAAAAGTTCATATTTTGTCAATGATATCTACAAACTTACTTTGTTAAAAATCATTCTAATAATACACAGAAGTACCATGAGAATAAAGTTAAAAAGATGCTCGGGTTCCTGATTGGCAATAACTATGTAGTCTCTGGAAACCTGGCCTCAAGACCATAAACTGAGAACAGACTTAAGTCAAAATTTCAAACCAATACAACTTTTGAAATAATTTTGATAATGTAAAAAAAATTTCACCATATGTTTAAATCTAAATGTTATATAAAAGTGCAAATTTTTAGGCAAGTACATTAGATAAAACTTGAGATATTAAATATTAAAATTTTGACTTAAGTCTGTTCTCAGTTTATGGTCTTGGGGCCAGGTTTCCAGAGACTACATAGATATTGCCAATCAGGAACCCGAGCATCTTTTTAACTTTATTCTCATGGTACTTCTGTGTATTATTAGAATGATTTTAACAAAGTAAGTTTGTAGATGTCATTGACAAAATATGAACTTTTGTGAGTTCCATATTTATTGAAGAAGCAGTTTTCTATGATGATTAAATGACAAGTCTTTAATCTTGGGGCCAGGTCCTCTAACAAGCAGTTGGAATTTCCCTGGGCACTTCTTGTGCTTCGTAACTAGTAGAGCTGTATTTTTTATTTATATGAAGCAGAATTTATTAATAAACTACCACAATAAAAACAAAAGAAATCTCCTGCTGTGCAGTTCTTGAAAGATGTTGAAACAAGAATATCAATAGTCTCATTTAAAGTCAATATTTCGCAAATTCTATGGTCGATACGACCTTGTCAGCAAATACAATCTACCATGATGTCGAATATTGACTGAAGTTTTTCATACAAATTGTTAAGCCATTATTTTCACACTGAATTGTCTACAGATTTTTCCGTTTGCCCGATCATGACAAGGAGCTCACGTTGGGTGTGACTGGTCTACAGGGGATGTTTCCTCCTCTGTGGCACCTGATCCCTCCTCTGATGTTTTCAGGGATCTGTGTTTGATATGCTCTCAATTTGTACTGTGTCTATAATAGATGCTACCTCCCATGTGGCACCAGATCCCTCCTCTGATGTTTTCAGGGGTCCGTGTTTGCACTGCTCTCAGTTTGTACTTTTTAACATTTTATCTGTCATAGACTAAAATGTTGATCAATCAAAGTTAATTATGGAAGAATTACTGATGTAAATGAGGCATGAATAACGCAGTTTTCTTACATTATAATAACATTACCTGTATTTTTATTTCTTTTCAGGCACGGTGGAAGCAGAAGCATTTTCAGTTTCAATTTTAGCGAAGAGTTTGATCTGAATGAAGACCAAAGGGGAAAATACATTCATTTTACCATATAAACACTGTTATATGACTAATGAAAGTCAATAAATAAGTTGAATGTTTTTCATTGTTATCTTGCACGTTACAATAATCCGTAAAAAAAAAAACTTAAAAGGTGGGGACAGAAATGTACCACTATATTATTTTTTATTTTTTTATTTTTTTATTTTATTTTTTTTTTTCATTATTTATTTTCTGTTTTCGTAAAATGTCTTTGATCAGCACTTGAAACTAAACAGTCAATGGATGAAAAGAGGAATGTGTGATATTAGAAAATCTGTCGCAGATTCCTTTTCAACACATTATCAGAATAGTATGGGGAGATCACTCTAAATTCTATCATGTTATATATAAAAAATGACAGGGCGTTTTCTTATCTCAGATATTTTTTTTTTCTTATTGTAATGCACAAGCAGGTGAGGCAAGAAGTTTTTAACGCAGCTGAAAATTCTTTTGAAAAATCTTTATTTAATCAAGATTGTATTGAGCAAGAAGCCTAAAGATGGAAACTATGTAATAAGTTTTACATTATCCGTATTAACTACCTCAACTTAAGTGTCATTGATTGTCTGTGTGTTTGTGTGGTTCTACTTGATCCACTTTTGACTGCTGATGATGAAAAAGGTGAAGATAACAAACAATGATCGATCTCAAAAAATCTACAAACAATACAAATCTGTGAACAGGGCATAAATCACGGACCCCCCCCCCCCCCCGAAATTCCAGAGTTGGGATAAGGTTTATAAGAGGAGTAAGCATCCCTGTTGACCAGTCACACCCGTCATGAGCCCTATGTATTGATCAGGTAGACGAAGCATTCCGTAGTCAAACTTAGTATAAATTAAAACAATTGATATGAAACACATCAGCCAAAAAACGACCCAATTATAGGTTATATTTGCTAAAAAGGTCATTATAACGCTATAGAATTTACGAAATGCTGACTTTAAACGAGGTTGTTGAAATCCCTGTAACGTCAAATTATCTGTCAGGAGCCTGTCCTGGTTTAAAAATTGTTCGTACTCAGAGCATGTTCTTAAGTATCAAATAAGTTGAGAGACGTAAACCTAACATGCAGGTGTTAGCGGAATATTACTACATAAATAAGGAAAGTTGACGATGGAAAAGCTGAAGTCATCTTGTTTGTCATACAATTTACTTGTTAGTTGGCCCTTATCGTCTATAGTCAGACACTGACTAAAGACACTCTGTGGTCTTTTATTTCAAATTCACTTGGATATATACAGTCGACATGGAAGTCACTATTGTTAATTGATAAAACGTCTATATATTTGAATGTCGAGATGAAGGCCGCAGCATGTGTTCTCTTTTTCTCATGTGGAAATTTTTGAATGAATTCTGCTTCATAGGAATATAAAAACAGCTCGGCTAACAAAGGAGCATAATTAGTGCCCATCGAATTTCCAATTGTTTGTTGGAAGACCTGGAATATGTAAATAAGGACTTCTAGCATCTTTTGATATCAACTTCAGATTCCTGTTGTGTAGATCAGAGTGATCTTTAACAAAGTGATAATGTTGCTAAACAATTAAAGATGCGAAAATTTCCGAGTTTCATTTTTAATTGAAAAAGCAGTTGTCTATGATTCAAAAAACCTAGTTTTTCATTTATTGTGAGGAATGGTTGTATAAAGTGTAGAGTAAAGATGTTATTGACTGTAGAAAAATTTAGTGAATTTAAATTTTCTAAAAGTTTTTTTTAAAGTTTTTGATAATCCTTATCTGATTTACAGCACTTTTAGAATATGCTGGAGCACAGTACATTTGAAGTTTCCCCTTTACAGCAGTTAATTTTTTTTTTTGTAAAGAGTAAATATAGGGGCTTGGTAGAGCATTTGCTGGACCGAGCAATGTATCTCTGTTTGTAAGGAATTTTATGAAGATTAGGAATTCAGTATAGGTAGGGTAGATCGAACTCATCTTGGTTGACTGGAATGTTTAAAGTATTAAACACTGTAATGTGATTTTGAAGAATTTCATCTTTAGAAAGTGAACTGCGAGTATAAATTGGATTTCAAGACATAGGATTAAAACCAAGTTCTTCTAAAATACAGTTAAAATAATGAGCCTTACAAACAAGGGTGGTATTGTTACAAGGCTTGTCTGCTGGAACGATTACTTATTGGTCATGTAGTCTTTCTAATTCTTTTATCACCTCCGATTTAGTGTAAAAGTAAGGATAGATGGTTTCCATATTGCCTTTTGACTTTCTAATACGATTGTTTGATATATCTTTAAAACACTTAATCCTTCATACAAAGTGTTCAGGTCTTCCCTTTCATATTCAGCTCAACGTCTGGCATAATCTTCGACAGAATTCATAATAGAAATGAACTTCTGTCGCCCGCATGGCACAGTGATTAGAGCGTTTTCTCTAGAGTTGCGAGTAAGGAGTTGGTGCTCACGTCGCAGGTTGGATTCCCAATACAGGACGTGGAGACCGGTCCTTCAAATGAGACCTTATAAACCGAGGTCCCGTGTCACAGTAGGTGCTGACACAAAAAGATCCCTCACTGCTTAAAGACCGTAAGTACCGAGTACAGGTCTAAATTTGCAGCTCTCCACCGACATGTGGTGGCGTCTCAATATGAGTGGAAAAATTCTCGAAGGAACGTTAAAATACAAACTTTCGCCAATCAAAAGATCGGGACTCTGTATTTAGGACCTATTAAGATGATTGCTTTCAGGTCTTCATTTTAAACTATATTAATATCACCGATAATGTGTCCAGCGGGACTGTAGTTGAAAGAAGAAGAAGAGCAAGAACACTTAAGAGAATTTTGTTTTAGATCTTCAATATCAAGGCATTGTAAGGTTTGTTTATAATTGAAAAGTTTGGAAGCAACAGTTTGGGAATATCTGTGGGAAATCCAGGATGTAGACTTCAAGTTGAAATATGGTGGAAAGCAAGACTGAACATTTTATGATTAAGAATGTTGCTAATCTTCGCAACATCTATTTCTTTTTTGGCAAATTTAAGTTTAAGGTACCGAAGGGTTGAGTAAGAATTATCTTCTGACACACGCGGTGGCTTAAAGACCCTGTGTTGGACAACACCCATAATCAACAACACTACCTTGTTTTCTGGAGTTGAAGAATCTAAGTATGGGCTTGCTATATCTTCTTCAAATTGTCCATTCAAAAAATTTCAAGGGAACCGAGTAAAGTTTAGTGCGAATGTGATGAAGAGCTTATTTTTTATTGATGTAAGGCAAAAGTTAATCAAAAGAGACATCATGTATATTTGACCTATTGTATGATCGATTTTCATGACTACGCATACGTCTAGGTGTATTGTTAAAAAGTCCCATGACATTCATTTTGGCACATTGTGGATGAAATATATGGAGATAATGAACAGTATTCAAGCTCAAAAGTCCATTCAAACAATACAAACCAGGAGCAGAGCAAACACGGACCTCTAAAACATCAGAGGTGGGATCAGGTCCATGGAGGAGTGAGCACCCCCTGCAGACCGATCACACTGGCGTGTGCTCCTTGTCATGATCGGGAAACAACGGAAAAATCCGTCGACAATTCAGTGGGTAAATAATGGCCTAACAATTAGTATTAAAAAAAAGCACATGACTTAATGATAGATTGTATTGCTGACAAGGTCATTGTATCGACCATAGTACTTACGAAATGATGACTTTTAACGAGACTGTTGATATTTTTTATCAACTTGTTTGTCAATAATTTATCTCGTTTAGAAATTGTTCAAGAGTATGCTCTTGCGTATTGAATCAATTGAGAGATATAAACCCCATATGCAGGTCTACGAAATGGATTACTTAAAGTGGGAGTGTTTGTTGGATGATAATTTTTTCCAGAATTCTAACCCTCATTTAGAAAACAGAGTGGCCAGGAAAATTGAAATGTTTATAAAGATGTTGATGGCCCCCATTATTTATTTCAAGGCAATGCCCCGACATTCTCTTATTAAGGTCAGACGACACTTTCCTCAATAGTATATAATTTTTTCCAAGAATTGTCATTGAAGCATTGCTACTATACTATACTGTAACAAGTTACCTGACAAAAACTGAGGTACCCTACCAGGCATTTGTGCAAGATACCAGAGGATGCTAATTACTACATAATCCTATTGGAAATCACTAGCATTGGCAATATCACAAATTTTTTATGTCTTTCTTTACTGAGATATTTTGAAAACAATTTTAAAAATCACAAGATAATGATAATTATGATAAATCTGTGGTATATTTCAAAGGGTTACAAAACAGATATTCGAGAAACGTGTCGTCAGAACTCAAGTGAACCCTTTGTTTTCCCAATATAAATCAGTCCGCATAGAGTACTTTCAATTCCATAAACAACATTTGAAGTTTTACAAATAAAAATTTCACTAGTTCAGCATAAAAACTATGTCAAGTAAGGTTTTATAAAAGGTTTGATTTGTTTTATATCAAAACTGGTTATCTAATATTACATAAATACTTATGGAAGCCTATAGTTCCCTGATGAATATAGATAATATTTTTACTATTTTAGAGATAAGAAATCTATTTAGGAAACTGTCTTACCTTTGGACCTATATCTAGTGTAAATGTTTTAGATATGTGTTAATAAATGATTGAATTAGCCTTCCTCCCCCAATTCTTTTCTCACAATCTAGCCTTGTTGGAAACTGATCGAAACTTCACTCAAGAGCTGTTCCAACTGATACTAAGTTACCTGCTTGATTTTAGCAATCATTGACGTGATGACAAAAAAGGTTGCGGTGATAGGATCTGGTGCAAGCGGACTGATCGCCATCAAATGTTGTGTGGATGAAGGGTTACATCCAGTGTGTTTCGAGCGAACAGATCACATAGGTATATTTATGATCACAACCAGTAATTATGTTTGACACATCATATGATTAATATTATAGGCTGATTAAAATATTTTATAATATCAGATACATACAGATATATATATATATATATATATATATATATATATAT